GGTCTTCCGACAGGACGGTCGTATTATACAGCAGACGTTGACTGCTGGGAGCTGAGAATGCAGACATTTGAACGAGACTCGATATAGGCAAGATTCCCCTCGGGTATCCGAGAATACATGTCGCGCAAGATTCCGGACGCATGGCAAACAGCGGGGTCCCAGTTCCATGGGCGACGATGAAGATGATGCCCAGTGGTTGAGAAAAAGGAGAGAAGTGACATGGCGGAAGATTCGGGGTCCAAGCTGAGCGGGCCCACGGAATCCAAAGCTGGCCAGACCTTGGGCCCCAGCCTGCGCTAATGCAGGAACCCCCCCAATCTGCCAATGACAGGGCGGCCAGAGTCCCCGTCGCTTCCCGTTTTGGTGGTGCTGGGCCCTGCCTAGCCTGCCGAGCCTGCCAAGCCTGATCGATTTTCCTCCTCCATCTCATCCCCACTCCCGATGCAGCCGCGTGCCGTGTACGGTCCCCGAGCTGAACTCCAAGGCGATGGACAAACGGGCTGTGCGTTGTTTCACTGCCTCAGGGCCCTCGAAAGCGCGGTGTGACCTGTGATCGGGCAGTCGGCAGGCCGGGGCATCCCCGCCAGACTCGCCCACTTTTTCCACCATCGTCGACGTCCATGTCAACGCCGACCTTCGACCGGCTTCGCTGCATCTCATCACATCACCACCATGCAGTCGTCCGAGCGCCTTGGCCCCCGGGCAGCTGCCAAAAACAGATGCCGTGGGGACGCCGCCATCTCCCGGCATCATCAGACCAACCTGGGTCTGGGTCTGGGCCAAGCTTCTCTCCGTCGGCGCTAGTGCCCAGCCCATCCCATCACTGGCCTTGCCAGACCCTGGTCCAATAGTCCGCCGTTGCTCCCTCTCGCTGCGTATGATGGATGCATAAAAGAATCGGCTTCCCCAGACTTGTGGGAAGCCTCTTCTCTCCTCTCTCCAGTGTCCTCCTCCGGCACAAGACAAGCGAAGATCTCGAGATCTCTCCTCGTCGATCCATTCGCTACCACCCCGATCTCTGACACTGTCTTGTTGCCCCCGGCTCCAGTCAGGCACTCGCTCAACATGGCCGCCTTCAAGATGGCTGCCGCCATGGCGGCAGTGGCCCTGGTCGCACACGTCAAGGCCACCGAGGTTCCCCTTCCTCCCTGCCTCGACCCCTTCCAGCCCTTCGTCTACTCGGGCTGCTTCCAGGAGACGAGCAGCACCCAGCTGCTGCCCTTCCGCAGCCCGCAGTCGTCCGATGACATGACGGTCGAGAAGTGCGTTGCCGAGTGCAAGGGCAACGGCTACCGCTACGCCGGCCTCGTCTACTACGGCGTGTGCTACTGCGGCCAGACGGTCAACGGGCCCCAGGTCGACGAGTCCCAGTGCAACCTCCCCTGCAACGGCAACGGCACCGAGACGTGCGGCGGCAACGGCATCTTCTCCGTCTACTCTGACCCCACCTTCCCCGTCGAGGACGTGACCATTGAGGACTACGACCCCCTCGGCTGCTGGACCGATGACTCGAGCATGGGCCGCGCCCTGACTTACCGTCAGGACAAGGTCGATGGCGCTACCCTGACCACCGAGAAGTGCCTGCAGTCCTGCCGGGACGGCGGCTTCCCCTTTGCCGGTACCGAGTTTGGTGGTAAGTGATGACAACTGTATACCTCGTCCATCCTAGAAACCACCTGACATGCAAACAGGCGAATGCTACTGCGGTGTTGTCATTGGCAACGACACGTACGCGGCCCCTGCTTCTGAGTGCGACATGCCTTGCAACGGCAACTCGGGCCAGACGTGCGGTGGCCGCGGCCGCCTGAACTTGTTTGTCGCCCACGAGCTGCAGTCACTCGAGCCCTGCGGCTACGAGCCGCCCGTCTCGAGTAGCACCACGCTGCCGCCGACGTCCACCGCCACGTCCACCGCCCCTCCTGAGACTTCCACCGCCACGTCCACCGCCCCTCCCGAGACTTCCACCATCACCTCGACGAGCACCACCCCCATCACCTCGACCACGACCACCAGCAGCTCCGCCTGCGTGAGCACCACCGTCGTGCCGCCGACGTGCGAGTACAAGTGCGGCAAGTGGTGCTCCTCGCCGCTTCCCGACTGGGACGACGTCAAGTCGTGCAAGGGCGCGTGGTCCACGTGTGCCGTCCAGGTCGCCTCCTGCTTCAAGCAGGCCGGCTGGCCCGAGGTGCTCGACTGCTTCGACTTTGGTGAGTGGTGCGCCGACGTGTCCAAGTACTGCGACAGCAACCCGCGCGGCGGCTGCCGCAAGGGCGACTTCTGGGGTAAGAAGCCCCCCAAGGGCGGCGCGAACCCCCCCAAGACCATCACCGTCACCACCACGTGCGCGCCCGCGTCGACCAAGCCCCCCACGACCTCCACTACGACGGCCGCTTCCTCTTCCACTACTAAGTGCCCGATCCCCACCCCCACAAACATTTGCATCCAGCCCACCAACAACCACTACGGCTACGGCCCCGGCAAGCCGGTCGGCGGCATCGAGATGCCCGTCGTGACGTGCAACGACCTGGCCGAGGACTGGCCGCACTACCCCTTCAAGGGCTACACCGACGTCGAGAGCCGCAAGTGCCGCAAGTACCCGCGCAACCAGTGCACCAACGCCTGCGCCGACGCCTGCAAGGAGCAGTACGAGGACTGCGTCGACGTCTACGCCGAGGGCTGCAAGCGCAAGCCCAGCCGCGGCCGCGATGCCAGCTACTTTGAGTTCCACAGCAGCGTCGAGAAGCGCACCTGGAGGTGGAACGATGAATGGTCCGGAGCCGTGAGCAAGTGCAAGGCGCAGTACAGCGACTGCCTCAAGGTTAACAGGGGCGTGACTGGGGCTGGAAAGTGCCCCAAGTTTGGGGGGTGGTAGATGCTGGGATTGAGGGATGATGATGGATAATGCTGGAAGAAGGGGAAGGGGGGGAACGGATTGATGAAAACTGCAGCTTCTTACGCTCCTTGATATACCCGTAAATATTAATACTTAGTGTCCATACCCGCGTCTGCCTCGCTACTGGGACCCAGTTCAGGACGTTCTGTGCCATCCAATCTTTGTCCGTATTCAAACCCTCCTTAGACAACCTCCCTTTCACATGCTTCTCCCACTCTTCGGCATCTACCACTTTTTTTCTTCTCAATCTTTCCATCTCGTCTCTGATATGTCTTCTTGACTATCTCTAGGAGGCCTCGGTGTTGTCAACGTACCTTGTTCGCTGGAAAGAACGAGCCGAAGAAGAATTGAAGGTGCGCAACTCCAGCGACAACCTGCACCTCCAAAGACTCAACGAGCAGCAGACCGCTAATCTCAACATCAAACTCAGGGAGCCATACGTCTTTGCTAATGTCAAACCGCCTCGGCGACACTCCGAATCGCGACGTACCCTCCCGAGCTCGCCCCGCGCTACTACACCAGAGTGAAGCAGCCTGAGAATCCCGTTTCGGCGCCAGCCAGCCAGCCACGCTGGCATCCATGGCCATGGCCAAGGTCGACCGGCCGGCCATCTGGCGACGACGATGTATACACCGATACGTGTATACAACCTCGCCCCCCCCCCCAACCCCAACCCCCGCCGACCCACCCCAGAGCCTTGATTTTGGCTTTGAGCTCTGAGAGAGATTCACCCTCGTCGGCTTCACATTCTGCCCCGAGCAGTCCTCCCTGCCCACCCGCCCGCCGTGGCGGGGCAAGTCGGTAGCCAGGACAGGAGGGTCTGTCTGCTCTTGCTTCAGCACCATTCCAGCAGCGACTGCAACCGCGTGGCATATGAACGGATTTTCTAGGGGGTATGGCTACCGACTTGCCCCGCCATGGCGGCGTGGCGCGGCGCGGCGCGGCGGGGGGATGGGGCCGGGTTGTAACGGGGGTCGTCATGGTGGGCCGAGTGGCCCGGGGAGGGAACTGGCCGCCATGGCGGGGCATGTCGGTAGCCAGCCATCCAAGGAGATGGCGCGGCGACGGGGTTGCCGCGGAGGGGGCGGACGAGGCGCCAGGCAGTAGTACAACCGGGAGACGGAGGGTTCTAGTACAACCGGGAGACGGAGGGGGGGAATGGCCAGTTCGATTATGCCTAGGATGTCGGGGCGCCAGGGGTCCACGACTCGGAGCAATGTGCCACCCGCTTCCGGGGTCAAGGAACCGCCAGGGGATGGGATTCATCAAGTGCTCCAAGACACCCGGAACATCGGTCTCGCTGAACCAAGCCCCTGATGTCCTGCCCAGCAGCACCAAGTACGGCCCAAAGGTCGACATCTAGTCGGCCGGCTGCATCATGGCCGAGATGTAGGCACCGCTGTCCTCTCCGGGTAGTGATTTGAAATTGAAGAGGTCTGCTCTCGGGCTGGCGTAGGGCAGCACACGTCCCCGTTGGCGTCCCCATGTTGCGGGGTGGGAGGGCGACAGGCTTGGGGCCGCCTGGATGGCGAAATGGTTGTGTCCGACACTGTCTGGGATAGGACGGAATATGTCTGTGTACGAGACGAGAGTCCTGGGGGACGAGAGTTGCTGGACGGAGCAAATTGGCCCGCCTCGAGTTCTAGGTAGAATCAACTGTCTTTCGTGACACTAGTACTCGTTTCTCCTCCACTGCCCATATTGGAGATTTGATTCCTTGGCGGCTCGAAACAGAAGTAAGCGATGGTGTTGTTGTATTGTGTGAGAGCCAGACTATGCTATGCCGTCGATGTAACTTGAAAATGTGTATTTTTGCGGAGTGTCAGTCAACCTTTCCAACTCCCAAGTCAATTCCGTCTATACCAACTCTCAACTTGAGGTTAGCACAGTAACTGAAGCACGAAAGAATAAACCAACAAATCGAAATCCGCCGTGCATGCTAAGGGACGAATACGTCCGAAGGCCAATTTCCTAGTGAAAAGCCAGAACGAACAACCCCTTCCTTGTCTGTGTTCCCTAGCTCGTCTAGACAGCTCAATCCTTGCATTCCAAAAATGAAAAGGAGTCAAGACTCAACGTCAAACTGTCTCAACAGCAGCCAAAAGGATGGGCGACCCCGGAATCGAACCGGGGTTTCTTCGGATTTCACGTGGAACGAGACCACAACGAAACGTCCTGACCACTAGACTAGTCACCCTTGTGTTGTTGGATGACGAGTGTGGTGGAATTCGAGGGTTTTGTGTGGATTGCGGGTGGGTGTGTGGGTGTGTGTGGGTTTGTCTGCAGTTGAGCTCCGCTTAGCTGTGGATTTGCCCCTGGGCCTGCATGAGCCGGCGGCATTTGGCATGGCTGATGGTGGGCTGAAGGGCAGCAAGGCGCGGCTGTGGTTTGGAGCTGTATTGACAGGGCGGTAGTTAAGGTAGTTCCTTACTCAGAGTGCCGTCGTTACCTACCAGATCTTCATCGGATTCATATCGTGGGAGAGCGTGTTGGTTTCCACTGTCTTTATCCTATCAGAATTTGATGTATATCACACTCTGCCCGCCAGAGCTACCTGTATCCGCACTCGAGTTTGAGTTTGGCCCCAATACCTCTCGAGAAGCGGTGCCAGCGAACTCAGATAGGACTGGCAGGAAGGGCCCAGAGAATTGACATGGCCTCCGGACTTCCCTCGCAATTACCCCTATTCCCAAAAGCAGCAAAGCATACCCCAACGCCCTCGCTAATGCAATCTCGGTTTTCTTGTTTCTCTCGACGCACAACCCGGCTCATTGGAGAAGCTCCTCGCAGGTCCAGTCCTCGTAGCTACAACATATGATTAGTTGTCGGCTCCGCAGACAGTAGCCAAGAGCAGCACTCACTATCCGTCCGGCAGGTACCGGCGCACGATGAGGGGAATCTTCTTCTCCCTCAGCTCCTTGATGGCAATCTGCAGCGGATCCGTCTCGCCCTCGAGGTCGACCAACACAGGCGCGTTCATGCTGTTCTTCCCGTCAGCACAATCCCTCCCTTTCACCCCCCTCCGATCGAAGCAGCAACCCACCTGATCTGCAGCGCGCGGGTCCCCAGGATGCGCGCCTTCTCGTACTTGGTCATGAACGGCGTGGTGGTGCGCTGGTCGTTGGGGATCTTCTTGTCCTTGTGCGACTTCTCGTTGCCCTTGCCGGCGTTAGCGGCCGCGTTGGGGTCGCCTGACGCGACGACGTGGTCGGCGTCCTGGTTCTCGCCCTCGAGCTCGGGGGCACGCGCGGCGTCGTCGCCGTCGGCGGCCTCCGGCTCCGGCTCGTAGTACTCATCGGGGTCCTCGTCGAAAGCGGGCTCGTCGTTGCTGCGGGGGTTAGGGGGAGTCCTGCCTGGGCTACGAAGCTGGAATGGTGTGGGAGCTTACAGAGGCTCGCGGTCGTCGTCGCCGCCGCCGTAGTCAGACATTGCGATGGATTTGCGGAGGATTGGATTGTGAGGAAGGCAGGTGTGCTGGGGTGAAGCGACAGTCACAATGCCGAGAGGGTGCTTTGTTGATGAAAGGAGCGGCTGCGAATGGCAGCAGCAGCCGAGGGAGGGACAGTGAAAAATTTGAGTGGGGCACCGTCGAGTGATGAGGCTGCAGTTCAGCCTTGCAGGGAGTGCGTTTAGCGCCGTTGCCTGCCGGAACACAACGCACACCCACAAAAAAGTTGGGGAATTCGAGCTCAAACCCGAACGTCAATTGCAGCTCCCACCACTTCTTCCTCACCTCCAGCTCTGGCTTACGCTCCCCTCCCGCCAGAGCCATGAAGCGGAAGGTAGCAGCTGCAGACGAGGGGCCGTCTGGCTCCTCGAAGCGGCAGCAAATTCAATCCCCCCACGAAACCGACACCGACGACCCAGCTCCCGCTCTCCCTCTGGCATCAACCGACTCAACCACCACCCCGGACGACATCGACAACACCACCACGTCATCCGACAACCACCCCCTCACCCCCACAGCAACCTCCATCCCCGGCACCCCCTCCCGCCGCGCCCGCAAGTTCCCCTCAGACCTCAAAACCATCCAGTGCACCTACCCCGGCTGCCCCAAGACCTTCAACCGCCCGGCCCGCCTGGCCGCCCACCTCCGCTCTCACACCAACGACCGCCCGCACAAGTGCCCCTACGCCGGCTGCGACAAAAGCTACCTCGAGGAGAAGCACCTGGCGCAGCACATCAAGGGCTCGCACACGCACGAGAAGAAGTACACGTGCGAGGAAGAGGGGTGCGGCAAGTCGTTCGTCACGGCGACGCGCCTGCGCCGCCACGCCGCCGTGCACGAGGGCGCCGAGCGCTTCCGCTGCCGCGGGCACGACGGCTGCACGCTGAGCTTCCGCAAGCACCAGACGCTGCAGCGCCACGTGCGCGTCGCCCACCTCGGCCTGGCCGCCTTCGTGTGCGGCGCCGAGGACTGCGAGGCCGGGTTTGACACCGCGGGTGCGCTGCGGAGGCACGTCGAGAGGGAGCATGGGGAGGTGCGGTTCTGGTGCGAGGAGTGTGGCGCCGAGGAGGGGGATGGGCGCAAGGTTGGGTTCAGGACGCTGTTGATGCTGCAGGCGCATATGCGCAAGGAGCATGTCAATTGTGTGTTTTGCGAGGTCAAGTGTGGGAGCCAGGCCGAGCTGGAGCGGCATGTCGACATGTACCACTCGGGCACGACGGTCGAGGAGCGGAAGACGGTCGAGTGTACGTGGGAGGGCTGCGACAAGAAGTTCACGCGGGTCTCGAATCTCAACACGCACATCCGGACGGCGCACGAGGGGCTGCGGTTTGTCTGCGGGCAGGTGGATACGTACGAGGTCGAGGACATTGCCGACTGGAACTGGCAGGAGGAGGGGTGCGGGCAGGCCTTTATCAGCAAGCTGAAGCTGGAGGAGCACGTGCGGTATGTGCACCTGGGCCGCAAGCGGCCGCCCAAGCTGTACACGGTCAAGTCGGCCCTGCCGGGCGAGGAAGACGAGATGTCGGCCGCCGTGCCGACGCGGACCATCCCGTGCTCGGCCGACGGCTGCGAGGCCAAGTTCATCCGGCACCACGACCTCAACAAGCATCTGCAGAAGCACCACCCCGAGCTGCAAGAGGACGCCATCGACCCGCGCCTGCAGGAGGCGGTAAACGACGAGCTGTTCTGGGTCGAGTCGGCCATCCCAGCTGTGTCCGAGCCGAGTTTCGACGCCGAGTGGGCTGAGATGCGGAGGCTGATCGATCTTGACGCGTTGGTCGATGCGAAGGAGTGAAAAAGAAAAGTGGAATTTTGGGACGCATGCTATGCAGGAGTACAGATACCCTTTGCTGTTTTTTGTTGTTGTGGTGTTATCAGGGGTGTTTGCTAGAAACCGGAGAGGTGGGAAGACACAAGTCAAACGCTATGCTATGGTATGCTCTGCTATGATATGCTATAAAAGAGGAGGCCGAATGACGAATATCGATACAAGACGAAACGAATGTTAGCTTAGATTCAAGAAATTCAGCGCCTTCATCTCAGAGGAACCACTCCCTCCCCGATGAGTTACCGCCCACCCGAAACCATCAAAAGCAAAACAAAAGAAGCATCAATATCCACCCCATACACCTCCCCCAGTCTTGGTAATGAACCAACCGGAAACCTGCCCCCGTCTAGTAACCCTTCAATCCACCCCCCTCCACCACAAACCCTTTCTTAAAAAGGTACCCCTACTAATAATACCCAAAACCCCTAATACCCATACCCCCGATGACCCCACGGCCCATCCCCCGGTCTAGCATTCCTGTGTGGACGACTGCCCCCCCCTCCCCAGGGCAGACACCACGCACACCCGGCACAGTACCCCATCCTCTGAACTGTCAGCTTATGCCACGCCTGTGCCTCGAGGACCTGCCGGAGGGTCGGGCCGTGGGCGTGGGTGGGGATGCCGTCGTGGGTGGGGATGTCGTTGTGGCTGTGGTGTGCGTAGTGGATGGTGGCGGATTGGGATTGGAATTGGGGTTCGTCTCCGGCTTGTGAGAAGAGGAAGCGGTGGAGGGTGGGGTGGTGGATGGTGGCGGCTTCGGCTTCGTCTGCTGAGAGGAGGCGGTAGAGGCCGTCGTGGATGTGGAGGAAGACGGGTCGGTTGGGGGGGATGGAGGGGGTGGGAGGGGCGCGAGGGGCTTGGTGGATGATGGGGACGGGGCGGGTGGTGTGGATGGGGTTGGGCCCATGGCGGTGGTTGCCTCCATGGATGGGGTTGGCGGGAGGTGCGTGGTGGCTGGGATTGTGTCCATGGGCGGTGTTGGGCCCATGGACGCGGTTCGGTTCCTGGGGAACGGAGCTGACTCCATGGTACTGGTTGGCTCGGTGGGTGCGGTTGACAGTGATGATGGGGAAGCTTGGATTGACGGGGTGGGGTGACCCAAGGGGTCGGGGTTCGGGAGGGGGGGGCCTGATGGCCTCGCTTCTCCTTATGAGCTCTTTTTTTAGCCTCTCCATCTCTTCGTTGTCTGAGATCTGCTTGTCTGTCAAGGGGCGGTTGCCGGCTGGGCGGGGGGTGTTGCTCGTTTCTTGCTCGTCTTCTTCGTCTTCGTCGTCGGAGTCGGACCCAGAATCAGAGTCCCAGAGCTCGTCGTCTTCATCCCCTCCCTCCCCATCCTCGCCATCTTCGCGCCCCTCGTCATCATTCTCCTCCTCGCCGCCTTTACCATCCCCGCCGTCTCCCCCATTGTCCTCCTCCTCGTCATCGCCCTCCACTTGTTCATCCGCCCACGCCTCCTCATCAGACGAGTCCCCATCCGACTCGACGTCCGGCTCGGGCCGGGGATCGGGATAGGCTGGAGGCCTATTCTCAGGGTAGGACCTCGGCTCGGCGGTGCTGTCTTCGGTCCCCATTTCCGTCTTTTCGTTGCACTGCACTACCTTTTCCTAGGGGGCGGCGGCGGAAGACTGCGGAGGTAGTCTGTTATTCTTGTTTTCCAGGGGTTGACGGGAGGTTGACGGGCTGTTGTTGCTGCTGCTGGTGTTGTTGCCGCTGCTGATGTCGTTGTTGCTGTTATTTTTGTCGTTGTTGCTGCTGCTGCTGCGGGTGGGTTGGGGGTTTTGGGAGCCGTGGCCTGTCGTCGGGGATATGGTTAGTTGGAGTACTAGAGACATGCTACAGGATGTCTAGGGTGGAGGTGCCTACCTTCTTGTCGTTAGAAGACATGGATGATAAGAGCTTTCCAAGTAGTTGCTTAGACAAG